TTTTTTTTTTTTTTTTTTTTTTTTGGTGCGCGGGGAAGGGGTAACTTCAGTAGAGTCACAAAAAACGAGTTATAATTGCAGTATGGGGCAAGATACAGTTTGCAATTGCACTTCTGGCACCCGACCTGCCCAGAAAGCTGGGTTGTATGCATTGCCCAAACTGCAATTCGAAACTGTATCTTGGCCCATAGTGCAATTATAACTCTTTTTTGAGACTCCCGCACAGTGGCCCCCTTTTTCTTTAATAGAAAGCCACTAGGTGCAGTGAAGTCTGTTGAGGCAAACCTTGCTTCAGCAAATCGCAGCACCCATACTCCTACACCAGGGGTGAGGTTCAACTAGCGAAGAGGATTGGATGAAGCTCCTGAATCTGGACGTGTTCTATGCAGAGATGCAGAAAAGCAGTTCAATCTCAATTTCCTGCACCTCTCCAGAACAAGGTCCAGATTCAGGCATTCAATGCAATCCTCTTTCCTAGTGGGACCCCTGCCTAGGACTTCTCCAACTGAGGTATGGAGGTATTTGTGGTCATTCATATGGTTTACAAGGGGCAAAAAAAAGGGTATTTGCGGCCAGATATATCCAGGTCGCTCTGTAATTATGGTCAGATACATCCAGAGTGTCTGGTATCAAACAAACAAACACACAAACAAAAAATGTATAGTATCAAAAAAAAAAAAAAAAAAAAAACTGTCTAGTATCACTACATACACTCAATCATTGAGATGATTGGAACCCCATCCCTAGCCTTACCCGGGACGTTTTCACTCATGCTGTGAACCAGCTACGCTACATTCACCGACATGGGGCATTGCTCCAGGACTTACAAAATGTGCAAAATGAGAATGAATCTTCCTCTAGAACATGCGAAAATAGTAAAATACACCGCCAGATTTTCTATCTTTTGTGCATGTGGTGAGTAGTGAAGTGAGGTGCATGACCGAAGATGGTGGGCGTTACTCTGAACCCTCCCGATGAATATTTATGATGGAGTAATATGGACAAGGCCTGGTCTTCACTTTTTGCCATTTCTTTTTTGGTGTCCTTGCATCCAGGGTGGCGCTGGTGTGTGACGTTTATCAACTTTCAGCGCCTTCTTTTTTAATATTTATCCCGTTCTTCCAGCTGCTCTTGATGTGAATGTGGTCAATGTAATCAATGATGCCACATGTGCCACTATTGTGGTAGCCAGGTAGTATACCAACCACCCCACCCCACCGGATACATCCCTACTGCACCCTAGGTACACAAGGGGGGGCTTTCTTTGCCTTTCTGTATGCCTTCCTAAGCGTTCATAAGACAGTCCGACAGTTTTCTGCTTGCCTGCGAAATGAGAGCCCCCCT